CCCCGATTTCCACCCCCTCCCCAGCAGAAGGACAGATCGGTCTCTCTCTTTCTTCCAGCGCTGTTCCCACTCGGTCGCTCCGCTAAAGGCATCCGGGCGCGGGGGGGCGCCGGTGCCCGGGGGTGCCCATCCGCCCGTCCTACCTGGCCGTGCCGCGCCCGCCGCTGCCCGCTCGCCGCCGCTCCGTCCCGCAGCGGCCCTGGCCCCTCACCGCGCCTCCACCGCACCCCTCGGCTCACCGGGGTCTCGGACTCGGCCGGGTCAGCTGCGGATCCGAATTTTAGGGCCCACAGAAGCGCATTAGCCTCCCCCCGTCCTCCTATCTTCCCCCGCCCCGGGGTCCCCTTGTAACCACAGCAAAATCCCCGGTGTAGAAAGAAAGGCTCAATCGACTGTACACCCCTCTAGTCGTTCGGCAGCCTCGGAGTAAGGATGATGGCTTTCCCCTTGCCGGGGCTCAGGCGTGAGGAGGTGCCGGAGCGAGGTGCCGCTTCTCGCTCGCGGCCGGACCCGCGCTTGGCGGGTGTCGGGATGATGGGGCTGGCGCTAGCGCCGGTGAGGCTGCTCGGAAAGCGGACCCTGCTCGCTCCTTGGTGTCCTGGCACGAGTAGGGCTCGCAGGATCTGCCTCTTTGTGTAGCTTGTTCTGAACACTTTTTATATCGGGCAGGGTGGTCTCCATGTTTTCTTTCTTTCATTCTTCCTTTCTTTAGCGGAGGGAGGGGGGAGTGATGGCAAGGGGCTTGTTGGATGATTATAACCGCTACCACTTAGAAATAAGTTTCTTGGGGAAGGGCTGATACCGTACCCTTGATATCAGTGGGTGTGTCCATGTATTATTTTAATATGATATGCCTTTTATATAGTGCTTGTTTTCCTCCTCCCTCTCTCCCCGGCCTCCCCCCTCCCCCCCGCTTTGTTTCTGGAATTTGTTTCGCTTTTAAAGCACCAGCACAAACAAACAAACACACAAAAATGACTGGCAACAAGTTAAATCCCATTTGTGTCCCTCCCACCGAGCACGGACCATGCCTCGCTAAAGCCTGGGGCTTGTAGTTTTGCCTCGATAATAATTTGACCAAGAAAATGAAGTGGCTGCAGACAGACTCTCCCGGCATTGACAATGCGGAGAGGAAAAACGTAGAAAGATTTTTCCCGGGATGCATCCCCTTTTGTGTGTTTTCTCCTCTCCGTCTTTCAGATGGGGCACTCGCATAGACGCTCTCACACACTGAGCTTATGTTTCCTAGGAGTTTTTAGAAAGCAGTGTTTATTGTAATCGAGCTATAAAGGCCACCAAGTAATGAAATCATGCCGTAGCTACGGAAACTCCAACAAATAAGTAATTTCCATTTGTCTTCTAGCAGAATGTTGTAGAGGATGACATTACATTTATTTTCACATTTATTTCAAAACACGAATGTAAGGGCAAAGGAAAGTCTCTCAAGTCGTTGTACACGTTGGAATTAATTAAACGATACTAGTAGTTATTTTATTATTGTTATTATTATTACTATTCTGCCTCCCATGGCGACTACAGGTTAATTTCTGTGGCTATAGTACAGAGGGAATCCGCAAAAGCAACAAGCGTGGTTCTCACTGAAGGTCGGTATCGTGTCCCGCTAAAGCTTCACTGAAAGCATCTCACAGTGAGCCACCCGCGCATTCCTGCGCCTTCCGTTAGTTTTTCCTTACACAATAATGGAGAAAACATTCGTGTTTGACTGTTCTTAAAAAATATCTTTTTACGCAATCGCACAGTTTGCAAACGATAGTTCAGCTTTATCTGTTGTGGTGGGCACGTGTTTTGTCATATGAAATTAACTTGTGAAAGTCTTTGTATCATTTTTTGATTTGTGTTTGTCGACAACGCAGATCATACCTCTACGCGTTGATGGTTGATACAATTGCTAAATTAAAGGCATGCTTTCCGCTTTGGAAAACAACAACAAAACTCCAGCCCTCTGAGAGCTCATTCTCAGAGAAACAACCCGAGGAGCAGTAGAATAACTCACCGCAGTATTTTGTATGCTTTTACGGTCTCTCCATATACTTCTGCACCATTCTGCATCTCTGTTGTCTCTTCCTAAAGACAGCCAAGTCACTCCTGGGCTTCTCACCTCTAATCTCCTACCTAAAAGAACATACGGACAGTGTATAGTGGCTCTAAATTCTTGGAAGAATGTAATTTGCGTGTGTTTTCCCCGTGTCTTTATTCTTCCGTGCTAAATACTAGCACCTGAACTGCTTGTCTTGATGTGTTTCTCTGTTTGAGCCCCAAGAAACTCCTCAAATCATTGCAATAAAGTAATCAATCCTTCCTATGCACACTGAAGATTTTTTTTCCTTATTGCTTGTTCTGCTTCTCATTTCCAAGGACAGCGTGTTGAGGCAACGGTCTGGCTTAGGCACTTCTCCGGACTTTCAGATTTTTAATCTAAAGCTTTCAGTATGTGGGGACTGAAATCATGATTTTCCACATTTCAAAAGGGACGAGGCTCTATTTATAAATGTTACAGAAGGTTTCGTTACTTCAGGATCAACAAAACAGGAATAGAACTGCAATTTTCAAGAAAATAGGATTTCAAAATATAGAAATAAAAAAGTAGTGGAAATGATGTATAATTCAATCAAATTACAGAAAATTGCTTTAAAATTCAGAACAGTAGCGATCCATTATGTCTCTGTTTTATTAGTGACAAGTACAATTACTCTAAAATAAAGAACAGTGGTGAATATATAATTGGCTGTAATCATGTTAGTGTTTGAATAAAAATGACGGGGACATTTAACACTTTGACAACAAAATGTTCAGAAACAACTTATTTATTCAAACAGTTTTTATTTGCATCCACGTGAAGGAGAAACACACTTTTGCTTACTATAAATCCAGGGGTTTTCACTTTCAATAAAAATATAACTAAAAATATATTAATTATTTTATTATCCAAAGCTTAATAAAGTCTCCTGAGTATGACTGTACTATTATTGATTACTCAGTACCCAAAGGACGCCATCTACAGGAAGAGGTCTCTAGGCTTAACACCATTCTAATCAATGTTGATTAAAAAAATAATAAATCCGAGTTAATATTCCTCTATAAAACCGGCTCCGATTCTACCCACAACACCGATCACAATATTTGCTTTGTAATTGCTTCTTGTGATTCGATTCGTTATAATTTGACACGATCTAGGAATCTGTTATAGGAGGCCTTTTCTCTGAGATACGGCATTTAAAATAATTCATTGAACTCTCCGAAGCAGCAGATTTTTTCCTTCTAAAGCTACTTTTTTTTTTTTCCTCCTCTCAGGATTGACTTGATCGTCTCTGAAAATGCAGAACAACCCATGAGATCCCTCCTTTCCACCAACCGTGTGGAGGATGCTTGCAGAACAGCCCTGAAAACAAAACAACTTAATTGAAGGCAGTTCAATTTCAGTGCAGCAATTGTGTTATGGAACACCTAACATTTCTTTATCTGTAACTAACTTATTTAACTTTGGATAGTTCAATAAATGTCAGCTATGCCAAGTATACTCCTATCCTCTCTTACAATACATCCTTTTCCCCATGTCTTGGTACTTAAAGGTGCCATTTAGCCGTAGCCCAGCAAGGGCTCGGAAATCTATCGAAGTAAGAAGAGTGCCCTTTACTATTTTGACCATACAAACACAAATCCATGGGAATGGCATATGCCCGTGACGCGACTCCAACAGCCCAGTACAAACTACAGGCTACAGAAAATACGAAGAGAGCTAGAAGAAACTTCCAGGACTCTTCTGCCAGGCGGCTTTAAAAAATTATTATTTTCGGGTTTAACCCCGAACGAATTTTTTTTTTTTTTTTCTCTTAATTTTTTTATTTACTTCCCTTCCCCACAAGTCTCCAGATTTCTGCTCCTGGTGTGTGTGTGCGTGCTCACAGCGGGCTGGACCCCACAGGATGGGAGCGGGTCCCTCCTGCCTTGAGGAGAGCTCGGTCCGACCGCGCCTTCAGTGCCGGCTCCCAAGGGTCCCTCCTGCCCAGGCGGGTTTCGCCAGCACTTATAAAATAAAGTAGCTCTGGTTTCTTTCTACTTCAGACCAGTGATGTGAATGGGCTTTGAAAAATTCGGGAGGGCGGTAGGGGGGTGGTGTATAAACTATACAGCGAAGAGTCAAAAGGCAGAGGTGCGTTGGCACAAAGGCTGAGGAAAATGACCCACGGTGCAACCTCGATTTTACGTGTTATTTTGTAAACCGGGGATAAAAGCCTAGAAACTATTGTTATTTGTACTTCCACTGGAATCAGGCTCAAAGTTAACACCGAAGGTTCCCTTCTATCTTTTCACTTCTGGGCATTGACCGTGAACGTTCCAAATCTAGAGACTGTGTCGTATAGCTGTTTTCAGACTTGAGGAAAGCTCAGGAGAGGAGGTTTCCTTCCCTGGGGCAAGCTGCTCCCGCAGGCGCCACCGGGGCTCGGTGGGTCCCTCCCCCGCCGGGAGCCGAGGCGGGGGCGCCCCTCTGAACCGGGAGGTCTGTCATTTCTCGGGTGCCTCGTACCAAATCGCAGATGTCAGCCTTTCCCTACGTGTTCGGGCTGCTAATGCGGGCACTGCACACAACAGAAATGCTCGGCTTGGGAGCTTTTCCCAGGGCCAGCCGCAGACTTCGTGCTTCGCATGTGCCTCTGGCGGCACCGGATCTCCACCAGAGCGGGGACCCAGGTGCTCGCAGTGGCCTTTACCGATGGGACCGTATCCCCGGGGGAGCCGAGCTCCCGCAGCCCTCTGGCCCCTGCAAGCCGGCCGAAGCACAAACTCCGTACATCTGCACGGGAACGCGCTACCGAGGTTCCGGCTCGAACCTCCTGCGTGTCTTCCGCAGTGACCCTTTTATCCTTGGAACCCACACCGTAAAGCCCCTCACCCAGCAGACCGCCGTATCGCCAACTGAGGCAGCCGGGGCCAGGGCCGCAGAAAGCCTTGCCGTCCCTGGCACTCCGAGGTTTTCCCCCGGGACCCGTTCCCCTCGGGGAAGGCGAGGGCCGTGTGCGGTGCGGCCGGGCAGGCCCGTGCGGAGCGGAGCGGAGCGGTGCCCACTGGCCGGAGCGGCGGCGGCCGCGCTCGGAGGCTGCGGCGGGGAGGGAGCGAGATCCGAACGGCGCCGGCGACATCTAGTGGCCACGGGCCGCCAGAACCCGGCGCTGGGGACGGCCAGAGCTGGGGGACAGGCAGATCCAGGGGACAGCCAGAACCGGGGACAGCCAGAACCGGGGACAGCCAGAACCGGGGACAGCCAGAGCCGGGGACAGTGGCCCTGCCCCCGCACCCCCGGCCCGTCCGCACCAGCCGAGCCGTCAGGCGTCAGCCACCGCTTTGCTCCCCCTCAAACGCCCTCAAGTTCTCGGTGCAGTGTTGGTACCAGTTCAAAATGGGTCAGTTTTACAGTTACGTACACGGGACACCGAGAAAAGAATTATAAGCAATTTCGTCTTCCTCCTTTGGCCTCCAAAGGACCTCCATTAAAAAAAAAGCAGACGCGCAGGAGTGGAAGTTCCTGTCACCCTCACCCAGAGAGATGTCCCCGCTGGTAGGCATCGTCCCTGTGCGCGCTGCTGGGACACCTCCCAGACCTGTGAAGAAGAAGAGGGGAGAGAAAAAAAAAAACCCAATATTGCGGAGACACCGCTGGCGAAAGAAGCCTTCACTATTTAAATCCTAGTGTCAGCTCTCATTAACAGCTCAAGTCATCTTTTCCCCGGGGCAGACCTTGTCTGGTCTATCGACTTAATGGAAAACAAAACACATGTTTGTATTCTATTATTGCAGTCTCGTTCCTTGCCGTACGGGGAGCAGGGACAGGCTTCTCCCGCTTCGCGACAAGCTTCCCGAAGCGACAAAGCTTTCTGCTCGTTCCTCCCTCCTGCCCTTCCAGAAAAAGAAGGATTCCGACCTCCGTCTCCTGCCCTTCTTCATGAATAGGGACTGCAATGGCAGCCACAAGAAAAGGCTTGCGCTGAAGCCGCTGTGGATAAAAAGAGCTCAAGAAAAATAGTTACTGGTATGTCCAGTAAAACTTAGCAAAGCACAATAATCTCTGCGGGAAACTTTGGGGATTATTTGTACATCAGGTGAAGTTCTGAGCTCGGATCCAGCTGCCAGCACCACAGCATCTCCCGGGGAGGCCGGCCGTGAGGAGACGGGCACACTAGGCAATAACAAGTGACAGACTGAGAGAGTTTTGAGACAACCCAAAACAAATAAACAAGCTGTCCCAATTCTTCCACTGGGAAGATGGCTTTGATAAGGAAGCAGGGAAAGTTTTGAAGAGCTGCAGACATTTTTGCAAATTTATTTTAACTGGTCTAAATAGTTGAAGTAAATTGGGTGGTTGTTGGCTTGTTTTGTTGGTGTGGGGTTTTTTTTGTTTTTGTTTTTTTGTTTTTGTTTTTTTTTTCTCCTGAGATTGCGCTACGGGGATGGTGAGAGTAAGTGCTTGATAAAAGACAGGAATACATTTCTCACCCAGAGAAAGCAGAAGAGGTCTGTAGAAGTGACGACCTGACTTGCATAAGGGAGAGAATTCTGGTGCAAGGAAAAGAAATTATTAATTTCATTCCATCCTGAGCGCTTTCGTTGAGGTACAGGTCTGTGAGCAGTGCCAAGCACAGGGCACTTGAACCTGGCATGAGTAACCGATCGAAATTAGCTGTCCTAATGTTCACCTATTCCCTCTAAGAGCCATTTCCAGCCGATCTCCCCCCTACCCTCAGCCCCACTTCGGGTCGCGCAGGAAGGGTGCGAATGTGAATTTGCCCAGAGGCAGCACCGGTCCCGGGGCGCTCCTTGGGCGGCTGCGGGGTCCCAGCGGCCAAGGAGGGAGCCGGTCTCTGGGCCTGGGTCCCTCTCCCGCCTGGGGTGCTCCTGGCATCTCGGCATAGAGAGTAGGGCCCCCAACTCTGGCGCTTTTGAAGCGTCGTTTGCTCTCAAGTGCTTGGCTGTAAATAAACGCCATGGCAGTGACAACACAGCCGTCCTGCAGTCAGAGCGGAGTCTGCCTCTGCACCTTTCCTGTGCAACACACGCCGTCAGCGTTTTAATTCCAGCTCCAAAGGGAACCTGCAATTATAAGCCCCCCTCGTCCCCTCCCGCTCGCATTCTCTTGTCTGAAACATTCACTGAGGAAGGTTATTTGGATTGAGAGTAAAATCAAACAGGGAGGGGAAGAAGAAAAAAAAAAAAAAACATAAACCCAACAACCCAGCAAACCCTTCCATTTGCTATTTACAAACCTCATTGTCATGCTTCACTCAAGCTGTCTGCCTAGCTTAGGGAAATAAATGTGACTGAACCAGAGACAAAGCCGATGCAGCTGTATTTGAATTTCTCAAACACTGTCAAACGTGCTCTTGTCTCATAATTCTCGGAGTTGTTGTTATTATTATGAACATCATACCTAATGTGAACATAGTGGGAAGAGAGCTGCTTGGCAGCGGAGAGATGTGGTTCCGATCGGGAATGCACAGAAATTTCTTTAGCAAAAAAAGATAAGGGCTAGTTTTCCCTCCTGCTTGGAAGCCTAGGCAGATAAATTAAGGAAAATTTGAGACCTATAATTTCCCTCCTTTTTTTTCTTCTCTCTTTTTTTTTTTTTTTTTTTTTCCTTGTGTTTTCCCGATTCCCTCAGAGGCAGTTGTGTTTCACTCCCTAATTTCCCAGGTGATAACCCACTTCGGCAGCCCCGCACTGCAGCGCCGGTGGGAAGGAGAACGAGAGGACAAGGTGTCCTCCGGGAACCCCTCGGAGCCCTCATGTCAGCTTCCCTTTCCGGGGGCTTTCAGGAGCCCACCAGTGTGCTTGGTGTTAGCAGGGCTATCACGAAGCGGATCCTTGCCCTCGACTCCTTTGGAGGAGGCTAAAACACTCCGAGGCCGCCACAGGAGGTCTCTAAGGGATACCTGGGAGCATTCCCATGTGTCTCGCCTTGGATGTCCTGCATCCGACGGCAGTGAGCAAACCCTGCCGGCCCCTTTCCCAGGCTCCGCCGCCCCAGCAGGCCGGCCGGAGCGGGGCTGCGGAGCAATCGGGAATCCTGCCTGCCCCGGCAGTGGCCTCGGCGAGCAGCCTCCGAAGCAATGCCCCTCCACGTGTCGGGAGCGGAGGCAGCGCCGGCCCAGGCCAGGACGGAGCCCCGGCTCCTCTGCTGCAGCCCCGGCCCAGCCCTCACGTCCCCGTCCTGCGACACCCAGCGCCCGCCACGCCAAGCGGCGCCTGACCCCCGGGCTTTGGGGGACAGACCTCTCGACCCCAGGTGTAAGCTCTGTCCTCTCCATCCATCTCCAGCATCTCCTCGGCCCTTTATTTATTTATTTATTTATTTTTTAACCAGCTTCCCTGTTGCCACACTCCTCAGACGGCCCTTCCGAGCTCTCTTGCGGGGAAGAAGTCTCGTGTCACCTGTTCCCGGCAGGACCACCGCCTCCGAGCCGGGCCGCACTCTCCCCCTCTCTCCCCAACTCCTTCGCTCCGTGCCCTCCGCGGTTTTCCTTGCAC